GAGGCGGAAACACAAGAAGAAGAAGGAGAATCAGAAAGTGAAGAAGAATAAAAGGGAGACAACAATTTAATTTAAGTTTAAGTTTTTTTTGTGTTAAGTTATTTGTTTTGTTAATTTGATGTTTTTAAGTTTTTTATTATTATTTTAATTTGTTTTGTTTTGAATATTTGAATTGACACTTAATGTGGTGAATGTTTTAAATTGATGTGATTAAATTGTTGTCCCATACAATTTGGATTAGAGCCAATTATGAAATTATTGCTATTGTCTCAAATCTGGAACTTGAAGAAAACCATTTTGATTGCTCCAATAACAAGTGATTTTAGGATTATGAGTATGATAGTGAAAAGGAATTGATGAGGAGAATTAGGAATTAACTGAATTGGAGAAGCTAGCCAAAACTCAGGTGAGTATAATACCACAAACAATTCAAATTGAGTGTCAACACTTTATGATGATAATTGGTATTGGTCGATTCTTTAATGTGATTGCATGTTGGCGAGACTTGAAAATGATAAAGGCATTTTTTTTTTCTTTGTAGTAAATATAACCCAGAGCCAAATAGTCAACCCTGCATTAATTATAGGACATCCATTTGAACCCCTTCTGAACCAAAAACAATATTGTTTCGTAAACAGAACCCCTAAGCCTAAACACTATTTATCTACCTTCCTATATTTGAGAAAGGAAATGAGTATGAATGTTATTATTTTTCCTATTGTTGGGTATTGTTATTGTTATCTTACGAGTATTATTGGGGTGTTATAAAAAAAAGTGTAAAGAAAAAGGAAAAACAAAACATAAATCTTGTGGCAAAGCCAAAAAGGATAAATGCAAAGCAGGAGAAAAGAAAAAAAAAGAGTTCAAAGGGGGGAATAATATAGTGAGATTATTAACTCACTATCATTGTGTTAGGAGCAAAAACATGAAGTCTGAAACCCGACTTGAGGAAATATTAAACATAAATCATTCATATGATGTGAATTTCTCAAATACTTTTGTATATCCCAGAAAAACCAATGAATTCCTTCTTAGCCCAACCACATTACAAGCCTCATTTGTTAAGTCTTGCTTAACAAATGTTGATTGCTTGAAGATGATTATCAATATTGGATTGTCTAAATGAAGTGATTGAATGAGATAAACACTTACCTGTGAGAATTTAGCCACATCAATTCTCTCTTCTCTCGTTTGAGCAAAATTTAAGTTGACTTGACTCTCATTTGAGTGAATCGCCACCACCTTAGGAAACCTTCTTCACCACCTTGCCATAGGTCTCACTTGATCAAAAATGGAGTCGAGAAGCGAGGTGTTCCTTGGTTTCTAGCCTTTTCCATCTCATTACCCAACAATATAACTCATTTATACTACAAGTATGCAATAAGAACATCATATAACATTAAAACAACATAAATATATCTTTCTACTTTCATTATAACACATCAGAACATATATATTTCCTATCTAGACATGTTATTATTTAAATAACTAACTTTCCTTTCTTGTTATTTATGAATCGTAGCTTCTCCAAGTATATGTACAGTCCCTAGTGAATACTATGATTCCAAAACATGGGAAGTTCCCTCATTTAACTAGGATATATATTTCTATCGTATTCCCTCCTTGATTTTAGAAATAACCAAAATCACAAAATAGTGGAAATGACTTACCTTGTTTAAAGTTATGTTTGAGCATAATCCCTCTTTGTTGCTTCAACTTTCTCCTGCCACTTTCGAATCTAAAATCCAACAAAGTTTGGGTACTCTAATTTTAGAGAAAATGAAAGAGTTTTATTATAAAAAGATTAATATTTATAAAAACTATTCACCTTAACCTTATATTTATAGAGTTTTCTAAGAAGCTAAAACTATACTTGTATTGAAAATATTACGTTGTTATATATATGTTACATGAAATTATATAGATTTTTATAAATAAAATATGTAAAACTTGTTTGAAAAAAATAAGTTTTATCGTATTAAATAAAATCCTCTTACTTCTCTATAAGAATTAAGTCATGAGACAATGCTAAATTTTGGGATAGGAAGTGTTGGGATAAACTTGAGAAGAATAGAAAAATTTTAACCAATCAAAAGTTGAGTACGATTGTAAAAATGAGATAAGGAATCTACTATAAGCTAAAGAAGTTAAGGATAAGAATATCTAGGTAATGGAAGTTAAATATTCAAAATGTAAATGTTAGTATATGTAATATGTGATTCACAAAAGTTATTAGAAAGCACGCTTAGGTTATGCTAGTGTTATAATGTATTTCTAATATATAATTTGAGACATGAATACTTAGAATAAGTTGATATATTGTGTATTGGTGTTAGATGGTGTTAGAATCAGCATGTTCTTTCCTATTTTGACTTTTGTTGCTCAAATCATAGATTGAACACTCAAACATTGGGTTAAATAATAAAAAAAGTGGTCTATATGATGACAATTTGCTTAACTAACAAGTCATCACTTGCGTGAGAGACATTTAATGGTGGTTTTCTCAAGTGATGCAGTCAAGAGAGAATTGATACAATAAAGATTTTGCTCAAATAACAAGTGGATGCTTAAGCAAAAAAGACTTGCTGATGAGAAAAAATTGGTTTTGTATATTTCACTCAAATGATATGTATGATGTTTAAGCGAAATACTAACAAAAGAGAGATGGTTAATTTTATTTGTTGTTGCTTAAGTGGTGAGAGTGGTGGCTAAGTGTCAAACAAATAGGAGGTAAGATATTGTTTCAGAGATAATTCACTCAAATCTTGATGAATATGCTCAAATGAAGTGGCATTAATGCTCAAACGAGAAAGAGACAAAACTAAATGAATTAAATATTGGAAGGACATTGCTCAAATGGCTATAAGGCACTAAAGCGGTACGCCTCTATGATGTGAAGTGATAACATGTGATGGATAAAATGTGGTTTGATGCTCAATGGTGATATGTACGTGAGACATGTGAGGCTAAGTTGATTTTGATGCTAATACGTAAAATTGACTATTATTTATGTTTGGTGTGAGGTAAGCTAGTCCAAGATGATGGTTGTCCAAAAATGATAGAATTGTAATTTAGAGGTATTATGATTTATTAGTATGATAGTTATATTTCTAACAAACTCAATGAAACCTCATGTTCTATTAATAACACAAGTTACATTATTAAAAGTAATGAAGATCTATAAAGAGATTACTAATAATATGTCCTAAGACTATCATAAACATACACCAAGATAAATAGGAATGTCAATAATTTTATTGTATGAGTAAGGCATCCCAAATGATATTGGAATAAGAGAGTATATAATGTGGTATTTTGTAACAATATAATTCAAATGTTAGTCTCTTAATTCAAAACATAATATAAGTCTTCCAAAAATATGTCTAATTATGATATATTTAAAATAATAATAAAATATATGAATATATACTATATAAAATATAATTATGTAAAATAATAAAAAATATGAATATATATAAAATAATAAATAAGTTATTATATTTAAATATTTATGACTTGATTATATTATCGAATTATTTATAAGATAAAAGATATTAATAAAAAAAATATATCAATACATAATATAAAAAAGATGGGAGGTATTTTACACAGTAATTTTATATGAGATAATATATAATGTTATGTATATTTTTTTTATTGTCAATACAAATATATTTCCAGATCTTATATAGATTTTTATGAGGATTATATTACATCTAAATTTCAATTAAATAAAACATGTATAAAATTAAAAATTGAATCAAATCGTTCATTATTTAAGTCTTAAATACTAATATAATAAAATATAAAACATTAAAATTATGAAAATAATAAAAGAAATTCAAAATTATAATTTAACCTAAGTTTTTTTTTAATAAAACTTTATCTCTTAGAATAATTATAACTTTATATTTGGATGACTAAAATAAGGTTAATATCACACTCTTTTATTATTCTCTAGAATTGATTAAAAATCATAAGCTTTAATAGATCTCATTTTTATAAAGCACTTAAATCAATATATAATTTTAATGAACTTTAATCAATAATATTCGATAAAGTAATGATAACACTTAATGTGAAATCAATAATTCATTCATGCGTGTAGAATTAACACAAGTCACTTGTGTGAACTTTTAATCAATAAAATAATTCTTTGACATTAACAATTTTTCTAAGAATTAATTACACTAACATTCTATCTGACACCTTAATTTTTGTACAAAACATTACATATACATTACAAGTAAATTTTTTCTACTGTAAAAATTGTTCTAATGATAAAAATAAAAATAAAAGGTATATATATGTATGTATAAATCGGAAAAAAACTTCAAACAATATTTTTTTTATTTATTTTAAGAAATAAAATACGATTCTTATTATCCACGTGATTTGTACATGAAAATAAAAAATAACTTATATAAATTTTTATCTCTTGAATAAAATTATAATAAATTAAAATTTTAAAATGAATAATATCATAAATAAATTTTAATAATATTACTATGACGAATACGAGATAACAAAACAAAATATAAACCTTTTTTTTTTTTAATATTTTGATAACCCGATTTGGCACCCCCAAGTGCCATTTTTTGGAGATATAGCCCCAGCCTTAACAAGGCTTGCACCGTACTTCTAGCATTCTTAATCTTTTTGGTCTCCGCGTGCACGCATGGGTTTATATAATTGAAGAAAGGACACAACCAAAACCATCACAATAAAAAACAGAGAACAGAAAATTGTACAATACTAAAGGAATCAACACTCAATTAATAGACCAAACTCTGCAAAATGACATGGAATTGCATCATCTTCCACATTTTAAAATCAATGATGGAGGGTTCTAACCACCAGATAAGTACATAATTAAGTTTCTATTCTAAGACAAACAAAAGTGAAGAAAGATCCATCATTACATTCAACTTTACTTCACTCTTTTTCTTCTTTCTTTTCTGGTTAGTGCTAATTAACAACAAGTTTGATCAATTAAAGGGTCATGCAGTGATGGTACAACAAGCATTGTTAATGGGTTGTTGGCCTCTTGCCATGCCAAGAAGCTTCATCTCCTTGATTGCAGGATCCTCTAGCAGTAGGACCTTGTCCTTGTCCCTAACCCCAACCATGTGAAGGAATTCATTGTCTTCTCTCTCTTTGCCCTTGAAGAGAAGCCTCTGCTCTCTAGGCTCCAAACTTGTCACCAGTGACAAAATCATTTTCAATTCCCCTGCAAGTTATCATCGCCATTCATTCACAGATTAGTAAGACACACACTTGACCAATACTTTTTATTTCTGAAAAAATAGAAACAATTCTAGTTTTTTTTTTTTTTCACATTTCCTTCCAAACAATTTATTCTGAATTTGTTATCTGATTTAATGATTCATACTTCAAATATTTCTATTGTGTTCCAAGATAAGACATCTACCATCAATAAATCCATCCATTTTTTTAAAAAATTTCCGACTTTAACCTTTGTTTGAAGGGAAGAATGACTGTAATAAGGATTGAAGTTTAAGTATTTTAAAGAGATATACAGAAACAAAACTAATATTCATTATAAAGTCAACAACATAAGCCAAAATTTTGAATTTTTCTAAAATCTATGAACACCCTTAAACCCAAAATAAAACATTTGGAATACACTTAAAAAAAAGAACATCTGGGTATGAACAACCAATTGATTCCTCAGTCTGAAAATTAAAAAGAAATGAACTTTTAACCAAAATTAGAGAGCATTAGATAGGGTGGGGACTAACCAAAAGTTGAAGTGGCATCAATAGAAATGTCATGCCATTGAGACACAGTAGACACTCTAATGGCAATCACCCCTTCCCCAGCACTTTGGTTACTCTCCCTCTTCTGAACAAGCATGCCACCAGGCCTAAGTTCCCACTTGATTTCACCATTATTTTTGCAATCCTTTTCTGGGGATGATGCTCCTTTGCTCCCATGGCCAAGCTTGGAGCTGCTTCTTGAAAACCTCTTTGACCTCAACTTGATCATCTTTCTCTCTTTTCAAGTGTTTTTTAATTATCTTTTTTTCTTTTGTGTTTCTTGGAAAGTGAAGGAGGAAGGTGATGAGGTTAGGCCCTTATATAATAGGAGAAAGTGTGAAAAGGGACAAAGAGAGGATGAATAAAAGCCACCCTAGTGTTGCAAAAAAGCAAGACTTGAGGGAACACATGGGAGAACATTGGACATTGGCAAATTGTCTTTTCTAGGGCACATGGGGAGAGGGTGGGTGCTTAGCAACAAATTAATTTAATTGCTTGATTGGCGGGGCAAAATCAATGGCTTTCAATTAGTTCTTTTTTTTCTTTCTTTTTTTTCCTTCTTGGTTCAAAAGCAATCAATACCTTAATTAATACTGAACAGGTCTCATAAGTGATATTGCTGTACGTAATCAGTCAATTAATTATTTTTCATTGAAAATCATAAAGAGAATGTATTAAATCATTAAATGTTTTAAAAAAACCATTAAATGTTTTTAGTTTGGAGTTTCGATGGGAATATATTATTAAATCATTAAATGTCATAAAAGAATCATTAAATTTCTTAAAAGAATCATTATATGCTTTTAGTTTGAAGTTTATATATATATAATCATGTTATTGGAAGAAAATATAAATTAACCTGTTTAAGGAAAGCTAGTATAGCAATTTGTTGGTTTAAGTTTTGTAGTATACTCTCTTTTTAATAAGATATGAGTAACATTAACTCATTTGTGTGTTAATTAAAAAATGTTTTTATTACTATCATTTAATTGTATTAATTATTTTTATTAATTATTTAAAAAATTATTTATTGAAACTTGATATCAAAAGTCGCAATAAGTAATTAATTTCATTTATATTTAAATTACTTTACTTTTTATTAATATTTAATATGCATATTTAAGTTATAAATAAATTTATATTTTACATGATTAAACATAAAAATATGTATATGTAAAATAAAACCAGTAATTTGATAAAAAATATATATAAATGAGTGATTTTTTTATATTTTAATTTTGATTATTAACTTGTTGAGAGTTAAAAAAAAAAAGGAGAGATGATAATACATGTTAGTTTAATTTTGTTCTTTCACAAAAAGTAAATAAGAAAGTAATAAATAAATAGTTTGGTTGAGTTTTGATAATGAATAATTTATAAATTCATGTAGTCGAGTTCTGATTTATTAATAGAATAAAATAAATCTATCTACGAAAACCCTACACTTAAATTAGTAGGAGAATATGCAAGAATATAATAAAAAATATTTTCTACTTATTATTTTTTTTTTATCTATTTTCTAACTAGGATAGTTAAAAAATATCTCACTTCCATGTCTTTAGAAGAAAATTTTTAATTTTTTATCTAACTATAATTACAAAAGTCAGCTGTCACATAATTATTCAGGTTAAGAACTTTACTTTGTCATGATTATATTTTTAAAAGATGTCTTATTTGATTAAAAGAAAAAAAAATATAAATTATTATCAATTTTAATTAAAAAAAAAAGACTCACGAATAATAAGATATAATTCTAATAAAAGAATAAAACACCTTTTAATATATTAAAAGAAACTAATATATATAAAATATTAATTCCTAAACTATTGATGACTTATGAACATAGAATCAGTTAGTTATAACATATACTCATACTTCTACATAAATTATAATAATACTAGAGATAAAAAAATATTGATTTTTTTATATAAATAAGAATATTGGTTATATATTTTAATCCGTGTATCATGTGAAATCTTAAATGAAAAATCAAAAGAAATTAAGTTAATACTTAAAAACAAGAAATTAAGTTAATACTTAAAAACAAGAAATTAAGTTAATACTTAAAAACAAGAGTGAAGTAATTTTATCTTGTGATATTAAGTCTATTAACTTTTACAATGATTATCTTAAAAATCATAACCATGATAATTGGTAATTGGATGAGCATATAAAACTATAAATATTATTGACAAAAATACAGCATCTAATACACAAAACATTTCATGTATGTTTTTATTTGTATATATATTTTTAATTTAGTATTGTTTTTTTTTAATATGTAATATGTGCATAAAAAAAAAGGTTAGTTAGCTTTTTCCATATTATATTATAGATAGAGTTCTTGGATGTATTTGTAAATTATATTAAGTGATATATATTATATAGTAAACTACTCAAGACTTTCTTCTCATCATTTTGTCCTTTCCCCCTTTTTCTTCTCGAAAGTTCTCTTAATTTATTCTTCTATAATTATTTATTTATAAATCACCCTATTTATTAACAAAAGAACATGACAATGTGAAACTCTGCCATACATAATCTCAGCTAAGAAAAATTCAGACTTTTTTTTTCAGAGAATCATTTATCTTTTTTTATAAAATTCCTTTATAATTAAATATTTTTTAAAAAATATTTTTAATTAATTAACATATTTTTACTAATAAATAATAATAATTTGAAAAAATAGTATAAAATAAATACTCAATAGTATATATAAAGTTTGATTAAACTATTTTAACTTTAAACATGATGAAAGTAAGTTTAAAATAAAATATAAAATGTTGAAAAAAATTATTATTTTAGTTGACTAATTTTCTTAAATATTGAGGATTAGTTGAATTTGAATTATAACTATGAATGGAAGAAATATTTATATGTTAAATTTTATATTAACGATGTCAAGTTAAACTTAGAAAATTCATGTTCCACGACATCCCAGAGATTTGGGTTTGTGTCTTCTATGAAGAAGATGTATAAATTATCTTATTCCTTTCTATGCTAGATAAATTAATGTGCAGTAACATAAATGCCGACGCCAATTGATTAAATTAGTTTAGAATATTAGATTCCGATAAGAATATTATGCATTATAATGACATGTGCCTTATTTTTTATCCATTAAAAGAGAGTCAATGAGATCGATCAGATGTTAAATTCTATATATATATAATTTTCCCTCAAGTTTCACTCTCACTTGTTACAGTCTTTATTTATTTATATATATATATATATATATATATATATATATATATATATATATATTATTTAAGATAAAAAAATAAAATTTAAAAACTTCGATCACAGCCAGAAAAACTTAAACAAAACAAAATAAATATATACATATTTTTTAATTGAAATTTAAGGAAGTTTTTTACGTTGAATCCATATCATCGATCTAAAAATCAAGGTTTCGTCTTCTTCGTATACACCAGGTTTCCTTTTGAGTGATGATAAATTTTTGGGTGGTTTTTAGTCACGGGAGCGGTATATGTCATCTTTGTGGCCCGTTATTATTTTGAATATTTCTCCCCAATTTAATTAAATCATTTAGACTTCTGTTGTGTATTCTTAATTATTTTTATTGAATTAGAAGTTAAAATTGTTTTTAGGGATCTCACTTATAATATGTATAGACACATTAAGTTTAGAACAAGTCTTATAATATTACTGGATTTGTGGTCTTCACAAGTGTATTTTTTGTCCTTTTCTCCTTCTACTTTTTTTTTATTGTTGTTGTCTTTTTTGTTCACACCACCACTTTATGTGTTTAGAAATGACAATTAAATCAACAAAAACAGTTTCAAATTTTTCTTACTTTAAAAAGTTGGGGACGAGAGCAAAGATAAGTAATCCAATATTTATCATGTCTTCCTTCTTGTCTTAATTTTATATTTAAATTTAAATCCTAAAATATTAATTTTTTAAAAGAATCTCTTTTTCTTTCTTATATTATATATAAGGTCATTTTTCTATATTTCACCTTCTTTATTTTTTTTACCTACTTTTACTTATTAATTTTCTCCAATCTTTTAAATCAATCGGTTTATTACATTATTTTCTTTCTTTTACTTTTTGTTTATTTATATTTTTGTAATCTATTCAATCAATTTGATTTTTTAAATCTCTTTAATCAATTTTACAAAAACAAATTAATTTTATTTTTATCCTTTTCTAAATATTTTACACTAATATTAACAATAATTAATATTATTTTATTTCCTAATTATCTTTATTAGATTTTATTATAATATATTTTTAAATTTAATATTGTTATTATCATATATTAAATTTTATCTTAATTTAATAATTATTTTTTAAAGAATTAAAAATAATTGATAATTAAAATTTGTATTACTTTGACTTAATTATATAAAAATTAATTTATTAAATATTTTTTTATAAAATATATATTTCATATTTATTAATATTTTAAAATAGAACTTAAAAAATAATTAATTTATGCATATAATTAAATATCTGAATATAATATTATAATATATAATAATAATATAAGTACTTTATTTTTTATAAAATAAAAATAATTAATTATTTCTTATATATATATATATATATTAATATAAATATAATAAATTAAAATATTTATTTAATTAATAATAATAATTATAAATTATAAAATTATAAAAATTTATACATAAAAAATATAAATATATTTAAATTAATTTATTATAAATATAAATAATTTTTAAAAAATAATATGGAGTGAAGATACGTCGAAGTCGTAAAATTCAAAATCCTATAAAATTGGAGATAAAAATTTAATTTTTAATATAGATGGAAAACTGAAAACGGATAAAGATAAATAAAAAATAAAAATTAGAAACAGGAATTGAGAAGGAAACCCACCCTCACCCTTCCCTGCCCCTGCCCCTGCCCGAGCACCATGGAAACCCCTCCTCTGCCAACTCAAAGCACCCCGTCTTGTGACCTTTGCCCTGTACCACATATCCTCCAAGCGACAACGTTTTAGTTACCTATATCATAAATTTATATTGGTTATGGTATCCTATAAAATAGATTTACATCATATTATAATCATACTTATTCCACCTTATAAGTAAAAAAAAAAACTTCTAATATACTTAAAAAAACTTAAACAAAACAAAATAAATATATACACATATTTTAACTGAAGAAAAGATATTATCTATAATCATTCTAACATTTTCTTGTTTTTAACCATATGCAAAATTATTTATAAATTACTGTTAAAAAGAAATTATACAATAACAGGCATATAAAACACACACACAAAAAAGCAATAAGAAAAAATAATTTCAATTAAGATGATAAGATAGAAAAGTAAATTATAACATTGCTCATTTCCTATTACAGTCACACTCTATGGCCATTAACAAAGGATCTAAAGTTGATCACGTGCAGGATGTTTTTTTAAAAAAACAAAAACAAAAGTATTTGTGACTACAACTTCCATGTTTATCCATCATTAGAAGTGTCAAAATAGGTATTGTAATTTAGTAGTGCTCCACCATGCTTGTTTGGAAACATTTTGTGTTTTTTACTCATGACAACATAGAGAGATTTTGCTGTTATAGGAAAAGCAATCATGGTGGCTACTCACCCGCTACACTGTCGTCGAGAGGAAATAGACACAGATTGTAACAAAGAGAATACAACAAGAGTAAAAGGTTGGATCAGCGTAGGGTACCTAGGAAGCAATTAAGGGACACCAAAAATGAAGAAAGAGACATCTGAATTGAGCATTCTCTTGAATTAAAGGGAGAAGAAACACGAGAAATGGCAAAGTTTAAGAGTGAAAGGCACACAACTTTTATTCATATGTAAAAAAGAACATTTTGTTGTGTCCACACGACTTTGAGATGATTTATGGCACCTTTGTGAAGTAAATTACTAAGTCTATATCTTTTAGAAAACCCTCGATTAAAGAACAATAAGAAGTTACAAATGATTAATTATAATGTGACTTTTGCAAAATAAAACATCTTACTATTTTATATTGGTTATTTAATCATTAATATTGTATTTTTTAGCATAGTTCCATCTTAAAAAAATTTCATGTTTATCATCCAATCATAGTGATGTAAATATTACATTTTATCGATTCTATCACAAAATTATTGTTTACATCTCATTCTATTATTGACTTAGTGTCAAAATATTCTTAGAGGTACCTCTGACGGCAAATATCTACAATATCTTTACAGTACTCCTCACGCTTCTATTGTCGAGGACTTTAAGATAAATATCTAAAAAATCAAATGATTTGAACAGAAAACCTGTTTGTGTTTGACTATCTAAGAACAAATAATAATAAAAAAATTATGATAGCATAATTATAATTATTTATAAGTTTTCTATATTGATTATAGTATAATTAACGTAAAAAATTATTTTAAATATAATCAATCACTTTTTTTTCTTCTTATTACTTTCTTTAACCTCTATTCGCTTTATCTTTCTTTGTCACCACCCTTGTCTCTCTTTGATCCTCATTCACCTCTTGGTAACTTGAAGATAAAATAGTATCATGCTTTTTAAGAGTTTTTTTTTTCACAACAAAAAACAAGATAATGGTGAATTATAAATTAACAATTTTGTATATTTTATGTTAAACTAAACTCATAAACGTCTATTTTTGTTGAACGGTGATGTTTCTCTTATAAAATTGGATAATGCAATTAAGTGTTTATATGTTGAAAATTTAAGTATGAATTAAAGTCTCATATTAAGTGAAAAGAAAAATATTAAGTAACTTATAAATAAGAAAAACTTATAACTTAATACCCTAAAGTTTTAAATTGAAAGTAATGTCATATTCTTTTATATAATTGACTTATATTTTGATAAGTATTTTTCAGTTAATTTCTAGAAAATATTTAAGACTTTTCTGCTAAACAAAATTCTAATAATAGCATAATATAATATATCGATTGTGATAACTTTAACTCTTTAAATAAAATTGTACCACTTATAATATGGTAAAAAAAATCATTATATTGCCTATTATTAAAGAGAATTTGTCCACGTTGTTTGAAAGGAAATATATAATTGGAATGGCCCTGAACACATTCATCCCATCGTCTGAAAGGGTTCTTCTAAAAATAATTTGGCACTTGGTGCAGTGTCTGCATTTGTAAACGTGTGACTTTGTCCTTCATGCTATGTTAATAAATTTTGATTGATGGTGAATTTACTCTTTTAAAATATAATAAATTTTTAATTTAAATAAAAAAACTAATATAAAGTATAAACATTGTTTTAAAGAATATTTATTTATTGACATTTAATGATTAAGAATTTAAAATTTAATATAAAAAATTTCCTTAAATTAGTTTTTTTAACAACTTGATTAGTGAAACCCATGGAACTAAAAGTTAAATAAGGATGGAATCCAACCACTAAATGCTGTCGACAAGGTGAATTTTTTCCAAAATTGTGGTTGCAAACTCACCTACTAAACCAAACCCACGCGGAGAAAAATAGGATTTGATTCAGGTGGAAGAGAAATTTCAGGTCTCTGACTTGAACTAACAATACTTCTGCCTGGCATATATTTTCAATCAAACACATGGTGTGCTTTCAAAAACACCACCTCACCCGCATTCTATTGATTGGATTGGAATTCAAATACTGACAAAACAACGAAATTTAAAAAACAAACAAACTATTATGCAAAGTCTAAATGTGATGAATGAAACACAAAAGAAAAAGTTGAATAAGTTATATGTTACAAGAGACTCACGATAACATATATTTTATATTTATATTAAGAGTATTGTTATATTTTTTAAATATTTTTCTATATCTTGTGAATTATATTTTTTTTATTTTTTATCGTTAATAATAAATTGGATTTGTTTTAAATAAATATTTTAATTCTTATTTTCGTTAATTTGATTTTTATTTATTATTTTGGTTAAAAAAATTTCTATACGTATTTTTTTTATTTGATTTTTGTTTCGTTAGATTTATTATTTCGAAGGCTTCGTTTGAAATATGAAACGTAAAATTCGAAATTTAGAGTTATCATTAATAACTTTTAAAATTTGAGAAAAAATTTCGGAATTTTAATATACAAAGTTATTTTTTATTTTTGGATTTCTTTTAAGGCTTATTTTGACAAAAACTCTAATCCTATTTATTAGTGTTCTATAAATACTTTAAGAATGGGAAATATTTACATAACTATTATACTAAAATTACATATTTTAATTAAATTTTTGTTTTTGCTTTTGCTCTACGAATTCTATCTCTTTTTTTTCCTATTTTTCATTTTATCATTTTATCTTTTTTATATGGATTTTCTCTTTTCTTCTATTTTTTGTTTTTTCATTTTATCTTCGTATATTTGTATGAGCAGAGATTTCTTTCATAAAGTGTAAGGACCCTAGAAATCACTACTATAATGATGCCTTCGCAAAATAGTAAACAAGTAAATAATGACATCTATCTTACATTATATTACTCGTAATTGTAACATAGATTGAAATTCGAGTTCACTAACAGAACCTCAAAATATAGTAACATAATTTATTAATTATATATTATACATGTAAAAGTAGCTCCCTCGAAACTATCCCACTGAACTATCCATGTTGTCCAGTAGTCATATCTTCATCTCTCAACTCCTGATCTGCTCCCACATAAAAGTGATCATCACAGTCCCATCCACATAGAAAAATAGGGGTAAGTATTAAATAATTCGATATAATAAAACAGATATAGAAGTAATAATTATATATTATGATCAATTACGAAATCATCAACACACTAAGACATCTTCCAGAAGTATACTCTAACTATGCCCGAACTCAGAGACTATCATCTGCGGGCACATTGTGATCGGCACCCGCAGTACCATTCTGACCACCCTCCACACAGAGTAGGATTATTGGCGCCCTTCATCACTCATACTGGAGTACCTCTCCGAGCGCGCCACTAGTCATCCCCCATCCACTTCTCACCACTTGATCTCGTAGTCTACCTGACCCGACCAATCAGTGAAGTTTGGGACCTCATTCATAATCCTTCGACATAGTTATTACACTAAAGTACTCTGTACCACCTTGGATACCATTCAAACACAACAAAAATCATTCACATTTGTCGGATTCTAGACCACCTGTCGTCACGGCTCATTCAAGTCAATAAATAATAGTACTTGACTGATTTTGGGCACCAACCCTCTGACTCAGTCTAGCCAATACATAACATCTCATGACTAATTATGGGCATCAACCCTTAGACTCAGTCTAACTCACACATGTTACAACACACTACAAAATCTTTAAAGCTGCTACATTTATTCTATATTTTAAATATAAATATAAAAATATATATATATATATATATATATTCTTCTTCTTCTTCTTTTCGAAATCATTTCAGAAATCACTTTCGAAATCATTTCAAAATCATTTGCAAAATCATTTCGAAATCTTTTTTGAAATCATTAAATTACTATTTTGCCCTTAATCTTTTCCGAAAATTCCATGTATGTCCCTAAATGACTATTTTACCCTTGGACATTTTCGAAAATTCCTTCCATGTCCCGAAAATGACTATTTTGCCCTTGAATATTTTCAAAAATTCCTTCCATGTTCCTTTCTTCTTCCTCGTGCCGATACATGTTAACAAATTTTGCAGATTTTGACAGATTTCAAATTACTCGAGTTTTAGACAACCAAACTAGTCCCAAATTCAAATTAAACATGAATTATATCTAATTTAAGTTGAAAACAACAATTTTACCATATAATTCATCCTTAATTTTAAGAATTTAAAAAAAAACTTTCAAACGGTGAACAGTTCATCAGAATCAGAAATTCTTCAAAATAAGACATTAAAATAATTCATATCTATACTTCTATTCCTTAATCATAGAGTACCCAGCAATTAAATTTCATATATTGAATGAATTAAACTTCCCCTTACGTATATCGAAGTTTTCCCACTTAATTCAAATTATCTCCCGTTTCACCAGATCTTGCACGAGTATAATATCGTTGCTTGAAATTTAGAAAAAAGAAGAAGAAGGATGAGAGGGAAATTTAGATTATGCTCCTCCCCCATTTCAGTATGCATATATATTTTACTGTGCATGAGGAAAACTTCGTTACGAAGTTTTCTTGCACAATAATATTATTATAATATATAAAAATCATACGTCATAATAAAGAGCCAAACTCGTTTCTTTCAATTTATAAATTGAAGATCACATGAATTATGAAATTAAGTTTTGCACCGATTGATTCACACACGTTGAGATTATTCATTGTTTCTCTAATTATTAGAATCACATGTCATTATTATAATTATAATTTACTTTACTCTGCTTTATAAATCAAATTAGGTTTCAGTTGAAGTTTGATTTTATACTTAATTGTAAATTAGGTTAAATAATTATTTGATTGATGTTCATTAGACACAAATATTTTACAATCCATATACATCTAGATTTGTAGATTGATGTTTCAATTATGTTTTATGCATTTGCATCCTTTACAAATTTTGTTTGTTCTTCCTTTATTTCTTTCATTCACATTTTAATTTTGTTTGCATTTTAATTGTTGCATTTTTAGTTTTGGTGTTTTTATCCGTGTTCTTGTCTCTTTCAATTCAAATTTTGTTCTTTTATTTTCAATTTGAATTTTCTATTTTCTAAAAAACCTAAGACCCCTCTCACTTTTGCATAAAGAATATCACAAGATGAATACAATTGACATGTGTCCTTGAGAGAATCAATCTAGGTTATCCATTATATTGCACACATTTTGGACAAACTTAGAATATCTTAAACTCATAACGATAATAAGTATTACCTAATACTTTAAGGTTTTAGGTTAAATATATGATTGACTCCACATTCGTGAAAATATGTGTTAGGCTTTTGCATATCCAACATATATCAAAGTTTGGTTCATTTGGTGATCGACTCAATCCTGGTTAGTGGACCCTTGTGTTAAAGTAAAGTCACTATTAAGGTACTCATGGTTAAGAAATAATTTCGTCCAAGGGAAAATGTATCAATGTGGAAAAAAATCACACTTTAAGAGAAAATCATTGGAAATCCAAATGAGTTGAAATTCTACATTGAGTAGAAATGGGTGTTGGATCCAAAAAATTAGCATCATAGAGTTGGATCCAAAAAATTAGCATCATAGAGTTGTATATACATTTTTTTAAGAGAGCATAATAATTTTTTGAAGTAAAACTAAAAGAAGAATTTTTTGGGAGACTTTAAGATTAAGTTACACTTAGACATCTCTATTTTTTATATGACATAGTCAATTTTAATAATATTAAGACTAATGAACAATTCATTAATAATTTTGGAATACTACCTTTTGTTATAATGATATTGAATATTTACATGAAATATCCTCAATGTGAAAAAAATTGTTAAAATATGGACTAGAGTTACTATATATAAAATTATAATATATAAATAAATTGTAAACATTACAAACCTATTTTTGTAAGTTAGAGTTAAACACTTCTCTACTCTTAATAAATCATGAAAAAGATTTAATGATATATTAAAAAACTTTAATTTTGTAAGCTTGAGTTAAAACAAATTATGTACATTAAATTCAATCAATTTTAATTTAGATATTAAATTTTTTACCTAAATACATTTAGATTTGAATTGTTTGATTATTTTATGAAATAGTAATTATATTTTAAAATATAAAAAGATATAATTTTATTAATATATATATATATATTAATTAATCTATTAAATTATTAATTTAATATTAAAATTAGATATATTAATATAATTTAAATTTAAAAATTATATTTTACGTATGATTTTTATTTAAAATAATTTTTTTAAGTGAATTGATATAGCTGGTTGACATGTTGATGTAATATAAGACAATTCTGAATTTAAAAATACAATCTATTCTGAATTTAGTTATTCTTCTCAATTATTACGTTTGATTATCTACATTTCTTTTGGTTTACCTTTCGATTTCTTTAGTAAATTTCTTGATTAAAGTAATTAATTCTTGAAGTTGCTAATTCGGTGGTTTAATAGATTTGTGTGCATAGAAAGTTGCAATTTAGTGAACAAATATTTTAACAGAAACGATAAGAATATAATCAAACTCATTAAACAAATCTTTGTAAAAAAAATAAAAATTAGTTTTTAGTGATAATTGCCCCCCCAAAAAGCAAAAGAAAACTATTTTAAAAAAGAAAAAATCTGACAAAAGAAACTTTGGAAAACTGCACATGTTGTGTGGGGCAACAAAGATACAAGCAATCAAAATTATAGGTCTATTTTCTCTTTTGTTATTATATTTATTATTTTAGTATTTCTCCTTTAACATAGGGAACATCCATCCCTCCATTTGGTATGGGATATATGGTCCCTTGTAGCTTAGTGTAGACATGTCCCATTTTCTTAAATCAAACATCACATTATTTCATTTTCAGGTTCTTGTTGGTCCATAATATCATACCTTATTTTCACATGTAATGTTTTATATGGATCCGATGAACCTTCTATCAAACTGTAACAATAATGCTACATACCGACATTAA